ATAAGGTTATTTCCCTCCGACCAAACGAACTCCCTATGCCTACCAGAAGGAAATTCAGGACCAGATATCTCAACTTCTAAAACATGACATAATCACCCCTCCTCTAGCCCATATTCCTCTCCTGTGACACTCGTTCGCAAACGCGATAACACCATGCGTCTCTGCATTGACTTCCGTCGCGTGAACGAACTAGTACCCTCGGATTTGCATCCTTTGCCATTGATAGAAACGGTACTGGATAACCTGTCGAAAGCCAGAGTATTTAGCACCGTTGACATAAGCAATGCATACTATCAAATCCCCATCGCGGAGGAGAGTCAACCACTACTCTCTTTCGTGACTCAACAAGGGCAATATAATTTCAAACGCTTACCCTTTGGTTCAAATCAGCACCCCAAATTTTCGAACGTGTGATTACCCAGTTGATCCACAAACACCACTCTCTTTCATAGCCCATTATATTACGACTTCGTTATTTTTTCTGACTCCTCAGAACAACACCTTACCACCTTCGACATTTCTTTAAATTCTGTTTAGAGGAAAATATCCAACTAACCTTAAAAAATGTAATTTTTATCAAAATGAAATAGATTTTTCTCGGCACCACATCACCGCAGGGACTTTTACACACCTAATATTAAAAATACCGAAATCATCAACGCTATTATAACTCCTATCAACGTTAAAACCCTACAATCATTTTTAATAGCCGTCAACGTATCATAAATTCATCCCAGAATATGCTAACTTCGCACCCTTAAATCAATTACTAAAAAGAACGCCAAATGGCTTTGGAGCCCGAATTGTCAACAAGCTTTTGATAAATTGAAGCAACACCTCGCAACACAACCTGTGTTACATCTATTTCAAGAAGGGCTCCCATGCCAGGTCTATTGCGACGCGTCCACGCAGGGCATCGCAGGTGTACTCAAACAAGTACATCCTGACGGTAACATCTACCCTGTACAATATTACAGTCGCGCGTTGCGTTCCTATGAGCGTAATTACACTATATCTGAACTGGAGTGCTTAGCCATTGTAGAGTGCGTGACAAATTCCGAGTGTACCTCCTAGGTACAAGGTTTGTCATCCTCGGATCATCACGCCTTACAATGGCTAAAGACCATAAAAGACCCCACCGGACGCCTCTTTCGTTGGAGCCTTCGACTCTCAGCTTACGACTATGAGTCAAATACCTCAAGGCTAGCCATCTCCCGTCAGTACGAGGCGGAAACCTACTCTCCCGTAACCCTTTCTGCGGATTCCTATCCACAGGTCAAATAAAAGATCATCAGGGCGAATTACGGAGGGACACAAGGTATATCCTCAATGACAAGGACCTTATGACCATCATACGACGGGGTGTCACTAAAATAATTGTTCCACCATCACTCCGTGGCACCCTACTACAACGAGCCCATCGCGATTTCAATCACCCCGGCATTTCGCAGATGACCAGACTGATCGCAGCCCAATACTATTGGGACGGCATGACAAATGACATCAGGACACATGTAAGAACCTGTTCAGTATGCCAATGGGTCAAACCACCAAAAGGACCTATCTACGGAGAATTGGGACAACTCCCCTCAGCGTCCTGCCGTACGAACTAGTGTCATTAGATACTATTTCTGGATTCGCGAAATATGGAAATTCTCAGACCTGCTTACATGTCGTAGTGGACCTGCCACACGGTACGCGTGGGCATTTCCATCGCGGTCCACCAGCATTCTCACCTACCCAAGTGATTAAAAAGGATGCAGTTTCTCCTAAACGACTTTTGACGGATAGAGCTCCTGCCTTCACCTCTCCGAAATTTCGTAGATTTTTGATTAGACATAACATTGGCCAACTTCTCACGACAAGCAACAACCCTCAGGCCAACGGATTAAGTGAACGACTAAACGCCACGATTACTGGCAAACTTAAACTGTTGCGCCTCCAACAACCTAAGACGGCCTGGACCAAACTACTACCTCAGGTCCTTCAGGCTTATAACCATACCCCACATTCTGTGACCGGGTTTCCACCGTCATACCTTTGTGTTAGGTAGTTTCCCGCTACAACTATCCGAGCATGTACAAAACTACCCAAAAATCGACGACGCCAGAGAATTGGCCTATCAAAGGACACACGAACGACACTTACGCGACAAAGCGAGATTCGACCAAACACATAGAGCTTCCGATTTTGAAGTAGGCGATCTCGTTTTGGCAAAAACATACCACCATCCAGACACTGGTAAACTAGCACCTTTCTTCTCAGGACCTCATGAAATACTGGAGATAATTTCCCCTCAAATCGTACGGATCAACCGCTCCAACCGACCTCTAAGTCGTGAGACAGATACAATTCATGTCAACAAATTAAAACACTATACGGAAAACGAACAATTTATTTCACCGCCCGTAAATGATCGAGACCAACCCAAAAATAGCTTCAATTTCCCATATAAACACTTCAATCACACTCTAATCCATACTAAAACGGCTATTAACTCACGAAAGCAACATGACTACACTTACAATCAAGATGATCAAAGATATTTAAACCACTTATCCCCTGAAATCTTTACCAATTACTAACCTGACAACAAGATTTTACGAACCCAGTAGTATCTAAATAATTAAGGTAGAGTGGCCCAAAGCAAGTTTCCCCTCGCTCTGTCCGCCTATATTCTACCTTCGCATCTAGAACTATTTTATCTTCGAAAATTAAATATAAATCCATTCGACTTCCTCACCTACACACGGACTTTTCCCCTCGGACTCGCTACACAAGTAACTACATAGATAAGTTAGATTGGCCCAGGGCAAGTCTCCCCTCGCTCTGTTCGCCGAGGTTCTAACATTGTATGTAGTTTTATATTTACCTCAGTCCTGAGCTCACACAATTGTCAACCTCAATCTCATTTCTCGTCCTCTACACTTATAGCATAGAAAGCCCATGACAAGTTTCCCCTTGCCATGTCCGCCTGAAAAATATCTTAAAGTGTAGAGTTCCCCAGTTTTAATGATCTTCAGATATATCATATGTATGTGACTCTTCTTTCCCTTGTTCACACTCCTCAATGACATTCCCCTTATAGTACATTAGATTTTGTTGTATATAGCTTTCATAACCTTGATATTTTCAAAGATTTCCTTAAATGTCCAACTCTCCGATGTTGTAAAACTGCTTGTAAATAATACTTACTTGTGTACTATACAATATTTTATTTACATAAAGCTATGTCACCATTACCTTAACTAATTTCAACTGTAAAATTATTTTCTCTATTCCTTTCACCAGCTTTAAATATACTAAAACTATGTTCAGCCTTCTTCAACGGGGGCCATATGTCATAATATATGCTCTTCCAGGATTAATAAAACAAACCAACAGCCAACGAGAGAGAGATGGGCAGCTGAAGCTAGACACTTTTTGGCCACATTCCTGAGGGGGGCGTCACCACCTGGCGACTATCCTGGTTAGCCCCCGGTTGTGTACACAGGGAAAACAGTCGTTCAGCAGATAACGTCTCGCTCGCTCTCTCGGGTGGCTGCCTGGATGATTGCTCTAACAAATTTCTCACCTCACCACATCATTTACCACTATATTGTCACATATATATATATGTGATGATTTAAGACCATGGAATTGTTTAAATAGTCTAGATATCTACTACCACATGTTCCACCCCATGACTGTATATAACTTCTTATGTACTGCACATAGAAAGCCTCAACTAACATCAATCTGTACCGCGTAAGAATCTAATAAAGTATATCAACTGTACCGATAGAAGGAATGGAGACTAACAGGAGAAAATTAAGGTTAAAACTAATCAGCTTAGGACAGAAGTCGAAGCAAGGCCTAGCAAAAGAGGCTTAAAACTAGCCCAACTATAAATAATTTACAAGACAATATTTCCTGGGCAAGACCGGACGTCTCTTGTGACCGCGGAAACCATAAAAGTCGAGTAACGCCCCGTATTTCCGGAACAAGACCGGACGTATCTTCCACCAAAGAAAGCCGCAAGGCCTAATTAGAAGGAAACGCCTAAGTAGGTCAACCAATAGCCAACGGCCATGTGACATAGTCCCACCAATCAGGAAAGAATCACCTAAATAGGTCAACCAATAGAAAAAGGCCATGTGACACCTTTCGACCAATGGGAAAGAAGACAGGTCTTGGTGTTAAATCGAGAAGCAAGAATTGTCAGTCTACGCTTGGCTCTCAACAAGGTAACACTTGCTCTAAAGATCTCCCTCTCTCCTCATCCCATTCCTTCTTGACGTCAGACGCTTCTTAGTGGAATCTCTGTTTGTTTATTTCACCTTTGGCCCAGCTGTGTCGCCTTCCACCACGACTGCACGGTAGAGTTGACATCGAGGTTCGTCTAGCATCAGGTAACACTGGTCCCAGAGGTCCCAAGATATCACATATATATATACACTAGCCGAATGACCCGGGCAACGCCCGGGTTTTACCCGATTAAATGTTTTTATTTAAATACTATTCGTTACAATTATAAATTGGCGGCGTGGATGTCACTCTTGTGAAACGTCCCGCTCCAAACTTTGTGTCTGAGAAGCGATATTTTTATAGAAAGATGATCTGGCTTTTGTTTTCTGCTCGAATGAATGTTTTTCTGTTAGAATTTTGTTCCTGCGTACAAAATAATGATCTGGTTTCACCCGTGGTCTCTGCTTTTTGGAATTTTTCCCGATATAATTTTGTATCTGATAATCTTACATGATACAGCAATATCGTCATCATCATTTTCTGACTAATATATATAGTTTTTAATAATTGATTTATATATTTTTTTAAAATAGCCTATCGTCTTCCCCGTATTTTTTTACCTATGTATGGAAATTTTGGTTTGAATTAGTGAACTCCTGCGTATTTGTATACCGGACATACAAACCAACAAACAAACAAACAAACATACAAACATTCATTTTATATATAGAGAAGATATAATATAAATGAGTTTTAAAATTGTTTTAAAAAAATGCATCGGCCGGGAATCGAACCCTGGCCACCCGCGTGGCAGGCGAGCATTCTACCACTGAACTACAGATGCTTTTAAAAAATGGCCATATTTAAGTATTCCATTCCGGATTAGTCCGCGTAAAAAAAGTTCTTCAAATGAAAAAAAGAAATAGCCAAAAATACTAATCAAAAGGCAGCCGAAAATTTTCCTCAGGTTTATAAAAAGCGACATGCAAAATTTGGTTCCAATTGGTTCAGTAGTTTTTGAGTTTATCGCGAAACAGACAGACAGACAGAAATAGACTTTTATATATATAGAGATAAGTAGAAATTATATAATATCTGGTAGCTAAGGTAGGAAATTGATGGTTTGAATTTTAAAATAGCTTTAATGTATTTTGATAGGTGTAAATATTTGTTGAAATTTTCTTACACTTTTTTGGTCTGTAAACTACACTCAAATTTAAAGATAAAATTTATATTTCACTATTAAAATTTGAAATAAATATTATATGGAATTCTCTCTCAATCGGTTTAACTGTAATAGGGTTTGTATATTCCAAAGAGCGACCTTTCTGATGATAACCTTCTAATAAAAGATCATTCTAATGAAATAAAAAGAGGACTTGAAGTATTGTAAGTTAACCTCCAATGAGAGACCAACCTAGGATCATAGAAACCTTTTTAACCCTTAACTGGACGGGTGAAATTTTCTTACGTATCTGTACGGGTTGAGTGGATTCAACCCACTTATGTTACTTTATGAAATAAGCGCTAAATAATGATTGAAATCAATATTTGAAAAATATATTTCATGAATACAAATGTTAACATAGAGTTTTGACGTTTATAAATTCTGAATATAATATATTTACCTATTTCACAAAATATTAATAAAGAGAAGATAAGGTAAAAGTATTTCTTAACAAAATTCATTTGATCCCTTGTGGATCTCATGGATTAAAGTATGCCCTGGGCTTACGAGAACCATTAGCACGAAACCATGTCGTATATACACAAGAAGTATATGTAAGTATATGTTATGATATGATGTTGTGTTGTTGAATTGATTGAAAATTGAAGGTGCAGTCGTGAAAATAGGAAAGATAATTATTTACTTGTAAAGTGTATTTTATTCTCAATTACTTGAAGAAAATTGTACATTAAATATTTATCACAATTATATAGAATTTATAAAATGAATCCTATAATCATGAATTAAAAAAATAGGTAGGTTAACTATACATATTTACAACAATTATCAAAGTGGTATATTCGAAAAACTATGGTCAAAAAAGGGTAGAACAGTAAATAAATAGAAATAAAATAATGTTTAAAAAAAAAACAAATTCGGAAATATTATAGATGCGTATGATTCATTTTAAAATTAAACAATTTCTACTGTCCTTACTGCAATGGAAAAATTAATAGGAGAGCCTGGCTCATCAGTGGTGAACCCTCCCAGCGGTTTCGCCAGTTTAACCTACCATACCGCTGTAATATTACATTTGATATTTACATTTTAGATTATATAATATGTATATATGTAAATATACGGATATAAACCACGTAAAATATTTATTTCCATAAAGATTAGGTAAGACATAAAAATGAAAACCTTATTAGTGTTTATTATTTTTTTCATTAAAATTAGAATCAAACGTTATGATTTTCACTCTTAGTTTTCTTGAAACAATATTTAGAATATATTTTATTCAAACCTATGCAAATTTGTAAAATTACGTACTGATTTGCATATTAAAGATATAGAAATAGAGTTAAAAGTAGAAATATGACTCTATATAGTGACGATGGTATTTTTAGAATCCAATTTATGATTCAAATTATTCAACACTAAATATAGAAATATTTTATATTTATATATGGCGTACTTTCGAGATACAGGGTCTTTCTCAGGCCAGTACCTAAATATTCTTATGACGTTTATGGCACTTGAAAGTCAGGCACGAATTTAATAAAAGAACATCCATGGACAAAACTTAAGTAAGTGGAAAGTCTTTGATATCGCCGGTTATCTGTTCTTTTTTTTTTAGGAGACAGAGGCTGTTTACACTTGGTTATCTCGTAGTCTTTAAAGGTCACTGTAATATTTCCGAGTTATTGTTTTAATAACGCTATACATGTTAAAAGGTATAACTTCCTCCAGTTTTGTCTATGAGAGCACTTTTTTCGCTTATATTTGCGGAATATTTTCATTGGACATTTTACTGTCGATTCTAGTATGATAAAAATAGGCTTTACTGATGATAATCATAAAAATGAACATTTCTTAAAACAATATATTTTGCACATATATACATTCGGTTTATACCTGAACGAAGCCGGGTTTTTCTGATGGTACACTAGAAGCATAGAATGGGAGTCGGTAGAAGGTGGTCAAAAAACCACTACGACCAGGGATCGAAACCCGTATTGGGGCACTTTTTTCCAATTAAAAAATGCTCCAATGAACCCCGATTCTTGAAAAAGTCCAACCCCACCAGTGGTGCCAAGTAACCAAACGGGTCTCTGGAGACAGGTTGTAAATACAAAAGTCGAACTGCTTCTCATAATTGTAGCCATGCGTGCATTTACAGTAAAAGAATTCGCTAACTACCCACATAATTATCATGGCCTGTACCACGAGTACTAGGGCTTTAGGGCTCCTGATGGAATCCAGACCGTCCCTTCGGAGAAGGCCTCGTCTGGTCTATATATTTTTCTCTATTATTTAAACTCTGTAAACTCTCTTTGACTGTTGACTAGATGTCAATAAACTATTTTTAATTGTCAATTGTCACATGTACTAGAGATAAATATAAATAATTAGAAGTAACAAGATCGAGAGAAAAAAGTATATTAAGTACCAACATACACACAACCTTCATGTATCCACTAGCCAGTCTTTCCATCAATCAATGTTCGACCAGCACGGGTCTCCAATATTGCTTACCTCTTTGGACCCTTTTCCAATTTGATGGAGAAGAATGTAATTTTCTGCCCCAAACACAAACATTATTTAATAGATATATCATATTTTCCCCCTTCAACATATCTTTGAAATCTTGTTTACATTCCAGTATAATATGTTTTATCTTCACTTTGCCCGCGTTTTGTGAAATTATATTTCAGTTTAGAAATATCTTTAGGGGATAGTGTTATATATTAATCATAAATATATTTTTATATAGGTTTATACATCTCGGAAGTCAAAAGTTTATTATATTCAAATTTGAAAATATGTATATGCATTTTTATTCATGTCAAAATGTAACTTTTATAACAAAAAATTTAATTTCTTTCAATATAATATATTTTTCTTTTAGGCTTCTCTGAGAAAAAAATATTGAGAGGTTTCTGACTTATCAGTTTATCCAGCGGTTTCGCCAGTTCTATCTATAAGATCGCCGTACTATTTTATTTAGATGGAAGCTTATTTAGCTAAATATTTGATAACATTTGGTAATAAAGGTCCTTGTTTAGATACAAATGAACATACACTATTATAGTTCCGATAGTTTATGTGAATAATAAATCTATATACACTTATGAAAGTTATAAATTTGGTTACTATATTTGATCTGATCTATACAATACAATTTTAGAGTGTGTCCTTAAACTGACACGAAAACAACAACAATGCAGTATTCACACCCAAGATAGAGAACATTGCGACTGCTCTGATAGAGATGCATGAGACATCTGAGGCTCTTCATTGGGACACGACAACAACCAACAGTTACAGTATACACACCCAAGATAGAGAACATTGCTGTGGATAGAGATGCATGGAGACATCTGAGGCTCTTCAGTGGACACGGCAACAACAATACAGTACCTTAAACCTTAAACCTTAAACTCCGCCATAGAGAAGAAACACCAAAAGAAACTTCAATTCTGGTCAAGAAAATACAACACCCAACTCATACCGCCTGAAAACCAGCCTAATATTCTCAATTTATCCAGCTATGATCTCTCAACTGATGAAATTGACTATTTCATCAAAGGGCACCAAACATAGATTCCCCATGAAAACAGATAATTATAAAATCATTGCAGGAGTCGAATCGGCCATATCTACCCTAACACATAATGAACAATCAAAAATCAGAAACTTAGTGACTACCTCCTTGGAAAAATCATCAAGAACGCCTATCTTTAAGGCGCCAATAATCAACATATAGCCAATTCACTAAGAAGCAAGAAAGAAATTGTAATTACAAAAGCAGATAAAGGATCGCATACAGTTGTTATGAACACCTCTAGATTATATATCAAAAAATGAAGGAAATCCTAAACAACTCCATAGTATCAAACTATAACCACAATGAAAAATCTCAATCATCTGCCTAATATACAAAAGATCTAAGGAATTTATACAGAGGCAATACTATTACTGCAGAAGACTTGAAATTGTTCCTAGGAAACATAAAAAATACCGCTTATATCTACGGCCAACCCAAGACCCATAAACCAGGTATTCCTATTCGCCCTATCATAGTATATCATATGTCTCCTATAGCCCCATTAGCCAAATTTCTAGCAAACTTCCTTATCCCCATTCTAAAAGACAATCCTACCACCACATCCATCACATCCATACCAAAATTTATAGAAAATATACATAGTCCTCCCCCCTCTCCTAACAGCACCATGATATCATTTGACGTAGTTAATATGTACCCAAGGCTTACCACACCAACTAATAATAGATAACACCATAGAAATTTTAGCATTAAATAATATTCCTCCAGATACATCCTCTAAAATTATTTCATTAATTAAGCTGAGCCTACAACACAATATATTCTCCTTCAATAGCCATTTTATAAACAAACCAAGGGGCTCCCCCATGGGAAGTCCTCTCTCTTCACCTTTGGCAGAAATAGTCATGAGAAAAATAGATAAAACGATAACCAACCTGTTTTCCACAGACATCATCATCTGGCAGAGATACATGGACGACATTTTTTGTATATCCAACTCTAACAAAATAGATTCCATTTTTACCCAACTAAAGTCCATACATAATGACATTGATTTCACCATAGAAACAGAAAACAATAACACCTTACCATTTCTAGATGTACT